TTGGGGGGGGTTACACTTAAATATTAATGTCAACAAGCTAAAACATGAGGGGCCGTGCGGTACGGCACTGTTGGGAAGCAGGTGAAGGGAGGGACCCCGGGCCGGACGGTTCGGTTCCTCCTCCCTGCGACTCGCCAGCGAGGACTCGCTGTCCTTTGGGGCCATCAGCCACCATAAGAGAGGACAAGAGGTTGGTCCTGTCCTATAGTCCCCCTCCACGGTCCTCCCGGGAGCCAGATGGGACAAAACCTTGGGACTTATCCAGCAGGGAGCGATTCTGAGCCAGCGCTGCTCTCCCATCTCCCTTGCATGACTCTCTATGGCTCCCCGGTTTCGGCCAGGATCTTGGAGTACCTGCAACGTGGAAAGCAAAAACAAAAAGATGAAACAGGACCAGGATGAGATTTCAGGCCATTCGGCCTCCCGTTCCGGGAGCGCCGAGAACTTGCCAAGGGCCAGCACTCATCACGCCTCTGCCTTCCTTGAGCAACGGATGGGACTACCGGCTACAGCTGTAAACATCTGTCCCCAGCTGAAGGCGCTCGGCCGTTTGGAAAGGACTGGCCGGGGGGGGGGGCCTGGAGTCACCCTGGGAGGCAGAGCAAAAGGGATGTGTATTTTGCACGTTATTTTTCCGGGGACCGGAGACTAACAACAGCCAAAGGCCTGACACGGCTGAAAAAACGCACGCGAGCACCGGGCAGAAAAGCTACCCGGGGAGCGGGCCAGGCTCGTCGCAGGGACTGCCTAACTGGGTCACCTCCGGCAGGGCAGGCGACTCCGAGGCAGCTTGCCCCGCGTCCCGTCACGAGGAAAACATCCAGCTGCCCCCGAGGCGGCAGCCGAAACCCCGCGGCCAGGGCCCTTCTCGGCACGGTGAGTCACACCAGCTATTTTAAACGCCGGCCTTAGGAGGAGATGAATTATCAGCGAACCAGGTGTCCCACGGCTTCGGCTCCCTGGTCACGAAGCCTCGTGGAAGTCGGTCTCCGAGCGCTTTCCGGACGTCCTATGTGGCAACAGCGTCATCTCCGCAGGGCACGTGGGGAAACTGAGGCACGGCGCCCTGACCCGCTGGAGATCTTCGGCGGCTGAGCTTCAGAGCGGGGCTGCCCTATCGCTGCCGCAGGTGAAGCGATAGCCATGGGGAAGCGCCAACAGCCAGTGAAAGCGCGAGCTTCCCGGCTTTCTTTACGGGCGCCCGGGCTCTCCGCACACGCGGCGCCCAGGGGAGCGCGGCCGGCCAGGTCGCGGCAAAGGATGCAGAAGCCGAGCATCCCTCCGCAGGCTCAGGAAAAAAAAACAGTTTGCCGGTAACAGCAAATTTGGGCTCGGGCTTAGCCCCCGCCGTGCACGTTAGGTCTGAG